TAGCCAAAATTATTGAAACATAAATCAAATGCTTAAAATCCTTCCTTGGCTTCATGCACTTAGAATAAAATGTGAATTACTTAATTCCAGAAACTGCCTGATGTGGCCCCTGTCGTGTTCTGTCTCGGCCACAGAAAGCTTCCCTCAATCCTCTGGCGCATTCGGCCTTCTAGCCCAGGGCGTTTCCCTCCGCCTCCTCCTCAGCCCCTTTCGGTTGCATCTGGAAGGGCATTTCCTCCAAGAGGCCTCCCCCAGCACCCCCCACCCTTTACCTACATCTCTCCCACCCCATGCCCCACCCACCCCCACTCTCTCCCTCAACCTGTCCATGCTATCCTTTACCACATTTAGCATAACCTGCAATTATTTTACATATCTGTTTTCCTTTTTGGTCTGTCTCCCACGTAAACAAAGCTGCAGGAATGCAGGAAGTGCACCTGCCTTCTTCACTACTATTCACACCCCGTCCCAAGCACGGGACCTGGCATCTGGTGGGGACACTATCAATATTTGTTGAAGAAAGTTCTAGAAGAGAAGACCACTGTCAGCATACTCTAAAAGCACCTATCATGTCACTTTTTCAACATGCAAAAGCACAGTGGTTCATTTCCCAGGCAGAGACAGAAAAACTAGGTAACGTATTTTATAACTTCCTACATTTTATATTTATTGTTATTTTTTAAGACACAAAAACTCTCTCAAAAAGGGTGTTTCTTACCAGCATGCTATTTTTCTGTGAAACTGTTTTCCTATTTTGGAAAAAGTGAAGATAGACAAACTTTATTTTAATTTTAAAAAAGAAAAGGGCGTATGGCAAAAAGTTTCCTTTGCACCTCCGTTCCCGGTCTGCTCATGCTCCCATCCTCCTCCCCAAACAAGTAGCCATTGTTATTAGTCCCTTGTTTGGCCTTCCCGAGAATTTTCATACATACGCAAGTACTTCCTTCTTCTTTTTTTTTTTTTAAACAGAAATGGTAGCATAAAGGCACATTTTCCTAGACTTTGCTCCCGTAACTGAGTAAGGCTTGGAGATCTTTCCATATCAATTCAGAAAGGGCTTCCTCATTTCTTTCTACAACTTCACAACTTCATTCCCCAGCTGGGTATATTTCCATTTATCTGCCCAGTCTCCTGCTGATGGACACTAGGTTACTTTCTATCCTTTACTATTACAAACAGTGCCGTGAATAATCTCCCACCTATGGTCCCTCACACAGGTACAGATACATCTGCAGGTTAAATTTGTAGCCTGCTATTGCCGGGTCAAAGGATTTACGCACTTGTAATTTTTAAAGCTGCTGCCCGATGCCCCTGTATGTGCCAGGCTCCACCCAGAGAAACAGAAGCCCCTCGAAGAAGCTGAAATAAAGGGAACTCAATACAAGCAATTGGTTGCACGAATGATGGAAAAGCTGCAAAGTCACACCAGAAATGGTAAGACAACCCAGAGCAAGAAGCGGCTACCATCCCTAAGCTGGAGGATCAAGGGCAGAGGTATTTCCAAGTCTCAGGGGCAGTGGGCAGGAGCTGGAGGAAGAGGAGACCAGGCACCTGCCACAGGCGCTGTCTGCAGAACAAGACGGGATTAACCTGGTTTCTCCCCTCCTCCTACCGGCCAATCTCCCACCAGCGCCTCCCATGGGCCAAACCTGGCTCCAAGCCAGCTAACCCAAAAGTCTGGGAAATGTCGCCTGCCGTGGAGAGTCTCTGCGCAGGGGAAGGGCGAGCGATGGATCTGAGCCAACAGGACACAGGCTGTCGCTGCCTCCTTAAGAGCTGCAACTAATTCACACTCCCATCGCCAACAGATGGTTTCAAATGTGGGGGTTATCGCTTGCCTGACAGGTGGAAGCTGGGCGCTCAACCTGATCTGAATTCCTGTTTATTTTACTGGGTGAGGCTGAGCATCTTTTCACGTGAAGCACAGACTGAATCCTCACCTACGATGATTAGGGGCGGGGGGTGGGGAGTAGGGAGGTTAAAGTTATTCAGCGCATCTGCCACAGATGGTCCATTCAAGAACACCAATCAGACATTCCCAAACTGAGCATAAAGATGGTGGCAATGAGCCAAACTAGCCAGTCACCTGCTAAGGAAACACCCATCTCGAGAACTATTCTAGAAAAACTGAAAGGCGACAAGGCCCCAAAGGAATTGAAAATGCCTTAACTACACTCTGCACACATTATAAGTAACAATGTGTTCTCGTAATCTTGTACCCCCCACTTGTTCCTCCTTAGAACTGCCTTCCAACCATTCATATCACCATCCTCTCTCCTTATCTCGCATTGAAAGAATAATAATACCCTGGACAAAAATTTAAGTTAAAAATAGCAAGTAGGAGTCATTTTTAAAGTCTTTTAACCCGACCAACACATTAGCAAAAAAGATCTTTTAAATTATCTTTCACCTCTGCCATAACCACCGTTTGAACAGAGGATCTACCCTATCTTACAAAAAACCTCAAACTGACTTCCTCATACATAGTTCAAAGTGTTGTACTATACTCTAAAAATACACCCCCGAAAAGTTACGCTTTACAATTGGCTGACAAATGACTAACTGAAATTATTCTCCTCCAAAGGGCTGAACTTTATTTTTAAAAACATGGATTTTACAGTAAAGCAGTTTTTTAGAAATGCAAATAGTAGTAGCAATAACTAAAGCATTGCAAAGAGGTGCGTTAACTTCAAAACCTCCAACGACCCAGACTTAAGTGTAAGCAAACCAAATTTAAAGAAAAATCACTATATCATGACTCTTACTTCATAACCCTCAGACCGATGTTCGCTTATTCAAAACCATGCTTATTGTAAGATTGCCAAACATATTTTGAAGTGTCTTCCATAATGCAAAGAAGAAAGATTTTAATAAACCACATCAATAAAGGTTAAAAGTTGGTTTCCAGCACTGGCAGACTCCGGGGCATTTTAGTAGGCGATCGATAAATATGTTCATTTGTTGACCGCTCCAGTGAGGGGAGTTAAACGACACATTAAATACAATCCTACCCCTTTCCTCCCACAGGGTACACTGTTTTACAAGTTTTTTCCCCCCAAATTTGAAAGCAATACACATCATTCCAGAAACTTGGAAAAGATAAAGACTAAGCAAATAAAATATAAACAATGGCACCAGTTTTCACACTGTTTAGACCACGATGTATAAAGCTGCTTATTTTTAATGCTTGTGAAGTAATTTCCCCAATAAACTTCCCATAATTTACCTCACCAGTCTCCTATTGGGCACCGCTGTTTCCAATTTTCTACTGTTATAAATAGTGTGTAAAGCACATCTTCACGCATGAGAGATTTTTCTGAATTTCAAGATTGTATCCCCAGAAGAGATATTAACAGCCGGAAGAAAGTTTTAAGACTTTTGATACTTAATATCATCCTTTGTTACAGTACTTAAGAACTATAAATTCCGCAGGCACATTGACTTCCTTTTTTTTTTTAATCTTTATCATCTTTATCTGTTTTTTTTTTTTTTTTTTTTACCTTGAAGTCTTCCACATTTCTAAACTTAAGTCCGAACTTCCAAACTAAATCGCCAAGCCAGCTGGCGCCTTTGACTCTAACGTCAAACGTTTACATATGACAGTTGTTTGTCTTTATTTGCTACAAAGGAAAAACTGCTATGCCGGTTGTGTTACCCAAACTGAGCTGGGCAGGAAGCACACAGCCACCGAGCATCCATGCCTTGGACCCTTCAGCCAGCCAGCCGGGCTGTAGGAGGGTTTGCAACTGGGCTCCTTTGCACAGCACTTTCTTTCATAAACACACCCACTCGGTGCCACAGTGCCACCCCTAGCTTTAACTATGCGAGCTGAACTCGCCAAATGCCACGACTCGTGCCAACTTCCCACCCTCGCCGCCTCATCGCTCCTTTGGGCACCAACATTTCCCCCCGGAGCGGCACTTCAATTCCAGAAGGCACCTTGATTAACCGCTTCATCCTCAATTGTGCCATCCTGCTGATCCTTCCAGGCAGCTGCTCCAGCAGCCTGGAATAAAGACTTTCTCAAAACGCTCCCTTATGACAAGGGTTTCTGAGGACTCGGGCTGTCAGCACGAAGGGAATCTTTAGCAAAAGCAGAGAGAACCTCAACCGCGGCCGTTCCTGTAAAAAAACACGCGTTTTAACCCTTTGCTTTCCAAACCAACGACCCACTCCACGCACGGCCACTCCACAGACACGTTGTTCGGTTTAAAGGTGCAATTCGCAGCGTGACACCACGGGGATGTGGATCCCGCGAAATCATTTACAACAAGCGCGCATCTTCCTGCACGAGGTCACTGAGCGTCAGGCAGGCACACACGACCCCCTCGGGGAGCGGCTCCCCACGCCCGGTTTCTGGTCTCCAGGCTCCGGATCCGACCTCGGCGCCTCGGACTTAGGTCTTCTGCTCGCCCCGCACCGTCCCCTGGTTCATAAAGAGCTGGCGCTCCCGCTGCCCGCTGCTCGGCGGAGCGACCCCCTGACCACTCCTGACCTGAAGCTCGGCAAACTGGCAGGACCTTCAACCCTCTTCCCGCCCGCCCCTCCCGGACCCGGGGGACCCCCCGCTCACAACTTTCCCTTCCCCAACGCCCTGGGGTCCCCGCTTGCCACCCCCTGGGAAGGGACGCCCAGAGGGTCACCCTCCCGCCCTGGGGCTCCGGAGGGCGTGGAGGCCCTTGGCGACAAGAGGCGGGGAAGGTCGCCCCCAAGGTCCCCAGCCCCAGGACAGCGACCCCAGAGCCTCCGGGGTGGGGTTGGCGGGGCGGGCGGCCCCGGCCTCGCCCAGGACCCTCGCGCGGGCTCGGCGGCCACCCCGCCGGACCCTCCCCTCCCTGGACCCCCGCCCGGGGCCCCGAGCGCGGCCTCGGCGCTCGCCAGCCGGCCCCCGCGATGCCCGGACGCCGTCTCCGCAGGCGGCCCGGGACCCGAGCGCGGCCCGGCGCCCGCGCCCCCCGCCCCAGGCCGCCAGCCCGGCCGGCCACACCTCCGGCACTCACCGCCGCCGCCCTCGCCGCCGCCGCCGCCGTCCCCGTCCATCTTGAGGCCGCTCCCGCTGCCGGCGACCCGGGCGCGCGGCGAGGGGCCGCGGGCGAGGGGCCGCGGGCGGGGGGCGCCGCGGGGTGCAGCGCGCTGGCGGCCGGCGGCTCCTGCAGCGCGCGCGCCGGGTCGCGGCCCGGGCCTCCTCCGGCCGGGCGGGGCGCTCGCCGCTCGGCGCGCCGTCACGTGACGCCAGGCCCCGCCCCCTGGGTGCGGTGGGCGTGGCCAGGGCGGCGCGGCCCCGCCCGCGGGAACCCGCCCGGGCCCGGGGCTGGCGGCGCGCTCGGGGGGCCCTGGGGAGGCGGGGACGGGACCCCAGGGCGGAGCGTGCGTCGGCCCCCTGCCCCTGCTCCCCGCCCTCGAGCAGCCTGGGGACAGACGTGGGGGCCGGCGCACGGGGATGCCCGGTCTGCAAAACCCTGCGGCGACGGGTCCCCCTCGCACGTGCACTCAGGGAAAAAAAAAAAGATCCAGAAACGCACGTATTCAACAGTCAGGCCTTCCCCCTCCGGCCCCGAGAAATTCCAGAGTAATTCCAGCCTTTCCGCTCTCTGTTGTATAATGGAGGCTCTCCTTTCCTGCCCACGAGTGCACTTGAAAATTAACAAAGTGTAAGGGTTATAAATGAACGCTGTCATGGGGTGGGAACCGAATCCCCGATCCGGCACACCTGGGGCCCACCCTCAGCGGGCTCTGTAGGGGTTGGCCGGTCTGGCCTCGGATGCGCTTGCAGTTTCCCTCCCGTCTCCCTTGGAAAGCTGCCAGCTGCCCTGGATTTTATGCTGCAGAAGGAGCTCAGAATTCAATTTCCCGTGGGCACAGCCAGGGTCCTCAGCACAGGCCTCCTGGGCAGAAGGCCTCCGCTTGCCCCTGCTCCACGTCGTCTGTGGATCTCCTTTCTCGCTCCACATCTTGCTTCCAGTAACTGCTCCCGAAGCATTGAATGCGGCCCCTCCCAAGCCTTTCTGTTCATTTTGCTTGAACGAAATTGCATTAAAGAAAAGGAAACATTGTAATGGAGGAGATAATTCATCTCTAATGTAATTTTCCAGCAACTGTTTTGTATTTACAAATGGCCCAGTGAGTCAAAGGATGCTTTGGCCGTCATTTATCAAAGTGGACAGTTTTCACGTTTTTGTTCAAGGTTGTGAGATGATTCCAAAGAGTTCGGTCTCCTAAAAATCTTAAGAATTGAACACCCAGCATTCTGGTGCTTCTCAAGCCACCGAGCCCGGCACGCTTCTGGGTGCAGAAAAGATGTTTGGCAGAGTATGTGACAGATGTAAAATAAAAGATGGTCTGGTCATGAGGAGACGCAGGTCTGAGTTCCAGCCACAGACTTGGCTTCCTGATCTTCTTCCTGGCAGCTTGGTTATCTTGGAGATAACAGCATAGTTACTGAGAAAAATGACAGCATACTTTGAACTTGATAATGTGATCTGTGGCGCTTTGAACTCAGAGATACTGTCAATTACGAATGCTTTTAAATGTCAATTCCTAATTCTGTAGGTTTGTGAGCGTGTGATCCCAGGTGCTTCTTTCAAAGTTTGAATCTGAAAACTGTTTCTCTGATCTCCATCTCGGCTAACTTCTATCAGAATCAAGGGTAGCCCACTTATTTGTAAGCAGAATATTCTATTATCCCCACAGCTTAGCCTAGGCCTCCCATTCAATGAAGCTTGCAGAAATGTTGGGGGAATAGGGGCTCAGGGTGTCATCTCTGTAATTGCGTGGGGGAAGTTAGAAGACTTCAAAGCCTTCACTACTCAAAGGAGTTAATATCTAATGGAAAAATTAGATTTTTTTGAAAAAGGCTGCTTTCTAGTATCTCTCAAGTCCCCCTAAGGCAGCAGTTACCTCATCTGCTCATGCGCAGGTTGCCCCTACATCTAAGAACGTTAAGTATCCTGGTTATTCGCTAAGATAGGCACTTGCTTCATGTCCAGCTCATGTGTGGTTTACTCAGATGTCGAAAGCTTTGAGGAATATGTAAGGAAAACAATTCATACAGCAGACATCGCTCCAAGATAACAAGTGTTACCCAAAACTTTGTTGCAATCATTCAGTCAGACAACACCCAGTTAGGCCCCTCCTGGAGGCCAAGCACTGTCCTAGGTGCTGGGAATACGATGATGAAAAGGATAGTCAGTCCCAGTCCTCAAGGGACTTATGGCCTGGAAGGAACACAGCCATCAAGCAAGTAATTACACAAACAATTATTTAATTGAAATTTTGGTGTCCTACCCTTCTTATAGCCTTTCTCACAGTATTTGCTGTTTCCTGTGTGTTGGCTTTGAGGCCTTGAAACTCCTTCAGACTAACACTGTAGTCTGCATTTATTCTGCCCCATGATGCACTGCAGGGTCTGGCCATGTGAAAAAAAAAAGGGGGAAGAAGTGACACTATTTGTTCCTGCTGCTGGGCACTCAAAAGTGGGAGATATCTTCAAAACACATTGAAACCCACATATCAGCCCTTTGGCCATTGCAGAAATAGTTAAAAGATCAAGAACCTGCACATTCTGCAGAGGTCAGAGAACTTCTCCTCTGTCCATTCATCTCCATCCTCCAAGTGGGAGTCTGTGAAGTCGGACAGACGTGTCCTCTCCCAGCAGTAAGGTCACAAGAGCCAAAACCGTGCCAAGAGCCGTTTCTTCACGCTCAGCCAGGAAGGGGCTGCCCACACTGCCTGAGCTGTGGCTGCTTCCAGACCCTGCACAGAGCAGTTCCCATCTCCTCTGAGATCGGTCCAGAAATGCAGAGACAGCAGCCACCATCAGCAAATGGGAGCCTCAGCTAATCCATCACATCTGCTCAGGGGTCTGGTCCAGCCCGGGGAAGGGGCACACAGCGGCTAGCTTGCTGTCAGCTCACGGTCACGAAGGGAAAGTAGTGTTTTGCGAAAATCTAGTTTCATCTAGGAAAGAAAACATCTCGTTGGAATAGAGATGATCTTGTGCAGATCAGCATTCTCCACTCTGCCCAGGCAAACGGCAAGGGTCCAAGTGTCAGTCACATCCTCATCAAATTTTGAAAGGCCCAGACATCACGTCCTGCACAGTGTTCGTCTCCTTTTCCAATCGTTCACTGCAGTCCACCTTGGTCCTGGTCCCCCCCTACCCCCACCATGAAATCCACACGATTGACATCAGTTCTCTGGCCTCCCATTTCCAAGGGCAGCTTAATTCCTTTTAGATTGATTAGTAACTTGCATTTTTGCAAGAACAAAGGTGGTCAAATTTCTCATTAGTGGTAAACTTGGAAAAATAATTTGGCCACCGTTTCAAGCTATTTGTCTTTGGGAGAAAAAGCATTAGACCCACTCAAGGCATCATCAATGTTAAGAGTTATTGCACGCAAGTTGTCTTCCAGAGTAATAAAAAGCTGTGTTATTTTTATCTAGTTCTTCATTTTTATAGTACGTCCCTGACCTACTAAAAACAAAAACAAAATTTAATCTAAAGAGGTCCCCTGCAGAAGTTGGTCAGAATCTGCAGTGTGCAGCTTAAAGCCATCAGCAAAATCCACACTGGGGTGCACGGTGTACTATCAGACAGGCAATTAAAAAGAAAAAGGGTGAAAATGACAAAAATAAGGACATGGAACATCTGTCTGTGATCATGGGGCTCTGAATAGAAAGTGTGCTCCTAGCCAGCAACCAAGCGACAGAACAAACCCATCACTGACGGCTGTGTGACCCAGACGGTCTAACTATGCCCAAGCAAATGGGATTCTGCAATTGGACTTGTAGGATGGCGAAAGCTAGCCGTGAGTTCTGGACATTCATTGTCTTTCTAAAGAGGCCACATAACACCCAGTGAGGTCCTTAGGACCCAGCCAAGATGCTTCAGAGCACGCCACCTCTGGTAAGTGGATAATGCAGGCTCTAAAGTCAGATGGTCCAGATCCTTCCATTTCTTGGCTGGGTGATCTTGGGCAAGTTGCTTCCCTTCTCTGTGCCCTAGTTTCTGCATCTGAAATGGAACCAACAACTCTGCCTGATGGGGTTGCTCTGAGAACTAAAACAAAATGCTATCATACACAAACAGTGCATGGCACCCAGTAAGTGCTCAATCATTGCTCATCGTTGTTATGCACAGAAGTAGACAGTTTCTGTGTCCTCTCATTCACAAGCCAGAAAGAATCTGTGACAAGATTGGGAGGCAAAACTGAATTTCGGTAAGGGCTCCCAATTTCACTGCCACCTTTCAGCTGCTGTCCTTTCTTCCAAGTCTGTCTTCCAGAACATACTCCTGCCACACTCCATGCCTTCTACTTATGAATTGTCCCACATTCAGACCTCATCAATCCTCTAAAGAATGGGGTTCTTGGGCCCTGCAGTCACACATGTGCATTTCCATAAGGGAATCTTGGAACTCTGTGCCCTTTCTTTGATGTTACTTTATTCATTCAACAACCTGTTTCTTAGCACCTCCACCATGCAGGCCCTGGAGATTCAACAGGAGCCAGCAGTCCATGACTTTTCATGATGGACATGTCAGACCTCAGCACCCAGAGTGACCATAACAGCCCTGGAAACCCTCCCCACACCCCCTTGCAGCTGGCAAGGTACCTTTTCTCAGGAAAAAAGAAAGGGAGGGAGGGAATGGGTCTGACGTGCACACCCCTCTCAAACACTTGTTTGTTAATCGTAGATTAATCAGGGGCCCACCCCGTGGCGGAGTGGTTAAAGTTCCATGCACTCTGCTTTGAGGGCCCAGGTTCACAGGTTCAAATCCTGGGCGTGGACTTACTCTACTCATCAGCCATGCTGTGGCAGTGACCCACATACAAAGTAGAAGAAGATTGGCACAGATGTTAGCTCAGGGCAAATCTTCCTCACCAAAAAAAATAATAATAACCATAGATTAATCATTTCAGTTTAATTTTTAGAGCTCTGCTGTTTGTTTTCTTTAAGACCAGTACATTTTTAGCATATAATAAATGTTATGAAAGCTTATCACTGAGGTTTTGTGTATGTAAGCATGCTGTTGAGTACCTTTAATTCATTGGAAT